GCATTACAGCTGAAGAAAAATACAGTAATGATAATAATAATAAAAATCCAAACAAAAACAATAGGGTTTCAGCACTACATGCTTGAACCCCTAATAAAATGAAAATAAAGTAAATAACAACTACTTTAAACTTAAAATAAGAATAACCTTACTAAACAGCATTCATCCAGGTGTGAATACAGTATTGATCATGACTCATACTGTAAAATACACATGAAACCCAAAGTTCAGATCAGAGTCTAACCTGAGGCACATGTTAGCTTTGAGTCTGTAAGCAGGTGATTTGATAACGGAAGTGTTTATGACAGCATGCTTTTGGAGGTCAGTCTATGGACTAGAAAAAGTGCATGTTATTATTTGAGCTTCTGCGTACACACATGATAAGCTCAGTGTGTTCAGTGGGAAAATAAAAACACTGGGTTTGTACCATTTACAGCACACACTGTTAGACCTTACCGGGGTTTTTTTACAGTAGAATACTGGCAACACTGTTGCCAGCCACTCACTGTAAAAGTTCGGTTACAGTAAGTAACTGGCAACAGTGTTGCCAGTTAATTACTGTAACTAAACCATTACAGTGAGTGGCTGGCAACAGTGTTGCCAGTTATTTACTGTAACTGAACCATTACAGTGAGTGACTGGCAACAGTGTTGCCAGTTATTTACTGTAACTGAACCATTACAGTGAGTGACTGGCAACAGTGTTGCCAGTTATTTACTGTAACTGAACCAATACAGTGAGTAGCTGACAACGGTCTCGCCAGTTAATTACTGTAACAGAGCAGCAGTGGTAACTAACTGGAAACTGTGTACAGTTAATTACTGTATTGTAGTTTTACAAATCACAGCATTATACTGCATACACATTAATAGTATGTCATATAGTTATTGTAGTGTTACTAAAATTAATCAGTATTCTTAGCTGTTATTTAAAAATAGAAGGCATAACATTTTTCAGACAAATTTATTTTATTGTTTCGGCACCAAACAAATAAATAACAGAAAAAGTAAAACTAAATTAAGAAATCAGCAGATATAAATATTGTCTTACATATTACAGGTCTGCACAGTAAGGCTGCGGTCACACTAACGTTTGAGTATGCAAAATTCTGTCATACTGCACTGCGAAGTAGAATTAAACAAAGCAAGTAGTGGAATTAAACAAAATAATTAGAGATTGAAAAAGCAAGCCAGAGAGGTCATGTTTTGATCTTTGATTGGTATCAAGCAATCACATGATGTGATTTCGCATGTCAGCGTTCTCCAAGCTTGAATTTTCCAATGCTAATGAAATTTGTTGCATGAGCTATCATTCCAGGTCTGCAGTACTCACATGCGTACGAATGGAAGTCTAAAGGGAGAAAAGTGCAGTGTGACCGGGACTTTAAGCTGTAACTCTAATTAAACACACCTGATCAAACTAATTAAGGCTTGTTAGAAATCCACAGTTAATGTTGAAGCAGGGTGGGAACTAAACTCTGCTGCGCTGCAGTTCTCCAGGAACTTGGAGTTTGACCCCCATGGTATATAGCAGGGGTGCTCAATCCGAGATGGAGCTGGAGATCTACCTTGCTGCAGATTTCAGTTGCTACCCATATCAAACACACCTGCCTGTAATTATCAAGTGGTGTTCAGGTCCTAATTAATTGGTTTAGGTGTGTTTGATATGGATAGCAACTGAAATCTGCAGGAAGGTAGATCAGCAAATGAACAGCAAAAAACACAACATAATTATTTAAAATTTTAAAGTTTTAAATAATTAAAAACTGTGTCAAATCTCAATAAAAAGTTAAAAATAATTATAAAAAATAAAAATAAAGTTGACAACACCGAAAAACCAAAGGATCCAATCTTTTATTGTTATAATTATCTCATGACAACAAACTTTTTTATTGTTTGTAATATAAATTCATAGGTGTAAACACAGCTCTGAAAAATACTTAGCAACAAACACAACCTGGGACCTGACAGTGGAGCTTTTGTGTGTGGATGGCTATGAGTATCATGTTTTTGTGATTCCCTGTGAGGATGTGCACATGTTACCTTACTGAGGTGATGGAATTTAATTTTGGCTTAGTTGCCAGAAAGATACATACAACTGTTAGCATCTGTACATTATGGCAGTATGCAATATCCAATAAATACATAAACTTAAACAAAAGTAATGTAAGAAGTTATATGAGGAGAGGCTAACTAGCTAACAATGTAGCTTTCAAGTACACAGTTCAAGATAACAACAATATAACTTAAAACACAGCCTTATTTTAGAAACCCTCAAAAACATTTGAACACATTTTACTTACTCATTGTAGATTCTTATTTAAAGCCTAAAACATATCAGACTCTACATCTGAATTGATAGACAGAGAACAGAGCACACTCAGCAGTAAACAAATCAAACACCTGACTCTCTTAAAGGGCCAGCATTTTCTGAAAACTCTTTCTAACACCTTTGTGTTTAGAATAAGACAGACAGCCTGTGGGAGTGTGTGGTGATGCCTAAATCATTATTTTCTGCCTTTAAAATGCACGTCTCTATAAATAGCAACATAAACCATCAGAGAAGATGGGACAGTAATGGTTGAACAGTAATTTGCTATTTATTGTTAGTTACTATCTGTAATGAGTACAATTTATTCTTTGCATTACACAATTTCATACAAAGTCTACTCCTTTTACAGTAAAATAATATGTGTTAATAAATAATAAATGTTTCCTTTTATTACAGCAAAACACTGGCTATTTTACAGTTATTTACTGCACAATCTACAGAGTAACAGTGCAGTTATACTAATTAAACACACCTGATCAAACTAAATCTAAAGGTAGTGTGTTGAAACAGGGCTGGAACTAAATTCTGCTGGGCTGCGGCCCTCCAAGAGTTTGACATCCCTGGTACACACCATATTTTCAAAGGAACTGCCTACATTTATCACAATCATGCACATACCATTGATTAAAAACAATAAAAATATAAAAACTTCATCCAAAGCAAAAAAATAAAAAATAAATAAACAATCTGATCCTCATGTTGTTCCAAACCTGTAGTAATAATAATAATTAAAAAAATAATAATAATAATCTGATTAATACATTTATTTAGGAAAGCCTTTATACTATACTGTTAATGCCACTTTTACCTACTTCATTTGAAGTTTTCCAAACAAATTAATTGAGTCTCAGCAAACATGTATGTACATGCTGTTTAATATATTTTTTAAATAACACATTTTTACTAGTTATTTAGCAAAATACTAATATTCAACTTAAAGTGCAATTTAAAAGCTTAACTATAGGTTAAACTAGGCAAATTAGATTAACTATAGAAAAGTAAACAAAGTTATAAAAATGATTGTGATAATTTGGTTGCTCTGTGTGAATATTTTTGCCTTTAAATGCATTTCGTCGATATCTTTACCTTTTAATTAGCTCTGTGACATTAACATTGGTTGACTCCTGATACTCAATGTTAAAAACATAAAAGGAACCAAAGAAAACACAGAGATGGGTGCAGAGAAATTTAGCTTATCATCAATGGATTGTCTCACTTTCTCTTCAATATTGACCATACACATACCAAAACGGAACAGTATATATATATATATATATATATATATATATATATATATATATATATATATATATATATATATATATATATATATATATATATATATATATAGCAACATAAAGCATTAGAGTACATAGGGTAATAATGGTTGAGCAGTATTTTACCATTTATTATCACAGTAACTATCTGTAATGGGTACATAAAGTAAATTACTGTAATTTATTCTTTGCACTACAAAATTTCATACAAATTCTGCTCCTTTTACAGTAAAATACTGTTTCCTTTTATTACAGCAAAAAACTGGCTATTTTACAGTTATTTACTGCATAATCTACAGTAAGGGTTAACAGTGCAGGTAACAAGGCTAATATGAAAGTTAAACTATTAATAACTATAACTTCATGTAGTAAAACTAAATAAGACATCTGGAAAAAAAAAACTACCAAAACCTTACAAAAATGACAAACACGTTCAAAATTACTGAAACATTTACAATAATAATTATGTACAAAGCAAATTAACAACAGTATCTTTATGATACTAGGTACACTGAATTTTATTTAATTAATTATTAATATTTATTTAAGTTAAATTTGATAAAAAATTTAATTAATTAAATATATTTTACACTTTTTTAACATTCAATGAGCAAGAATGACAGGTTTAGTCATTAGTTAATGTTAGTAATAGAGCCAATTCAGTACGTGGGGGTGATTGGGAGGTCATGATGGGTAAGGGTCGATGGAGGGAATTTAGCCAAGACACCGGGGTTACACCCTTACTCTTTACTAGAAGTGCAAGAAGTTTTAATGACCACATAGAGTCGAGACCTTGGTTAAACGTCTCATCCAAAAAATGGCGCTCATTGAGTGTCTACTTCACTTTATTGGGGCATTAGGACTCACACAGATTGAGCGCCCCTTGCTACCTTCACTAACACCACCTCCAACAGCAATCTAGTTTTCCCATGTGGTCCCCCATCCAGGTACTGACCAGGCTCAGCCCTGCTTAGCTTCAGTGAGTAACCGGTCTTCGGCTACAGGGTAATATGGATGTGGCCTATCACCTAAAATCTAAATTCATGGTTGTTACCATTAGTTGAAACACTGAGTTAACAAGGACTAACAATGGAAAACTTTAATTTCATTATCTAACATTAGCAAATATATTTAAATAAAAGTAATAAATGTATTGTCCATTGTTGGTTCATGTTAGTAAATACAAAGTAACATTAAATGATGGGACGTTAGAGTAAAATGTTACCAAAACCATAAACACATAAAAAAATAAAACTAAACTAATAAATATTACTTAAACATTAACTATATAATATCTAATTTAATCTATCACCAAAAAAGCGCATAAGGGGTGGATGAGTTGTCTTGCAGGCCACTAAAAATCCCTCATTTTTTCCATTTCTGTCTGCATTATAGAGGAAAAGAGTCCATCTGGTGTGTTTCATCTTAAGAGTGGACCTCTTAAGATCACAGAAGACTGGTGTCTGGAGTTCTGGTACCACAAACCCAATGAAAAAAGCTCTGATCTCAATGTTCTGCTAGTGGATGGCATTCTGAAAACGCTGATTTGGACCTCAGAGGGTTCCGGCGTTGGAGACTGGAGACAAGAGTTCATCACGATCACAAAACAATCTGATGACAGCAACATCCAGGTACTGTGCAGCCATTCAAAGATTTAGATTTAGGTGTTGGGAATCTTCCAGTGGAAAATAGCTGATAATGTTAAAACATATCTTAGGGTGCATTTAAATGCCACTGATTTTATTTAAAAAAAGAAGATTCTTAAAAAGTTTTCAAAGATTGTCACAAGCCAACAAAGAGTCTCAAGAAAATTAAATGCACATAAAAAAAGTTAACAAAATCAAATGAGAAAAAAAGTAAAAACAGCTTTGTAGAAATATACAGATATAAATATAGCCAATGAAGACAGATTTGAAGAAAGGAGTTGAAATAGAAAGAGAAATTGTCACGGCCAACTGAGACTGGTTTCTCTCGAGGTTTTTTTTTTCCTTCACTTTTGTCAATTCGTGAAGTTTGTTCCTCACCACTGTTGCGACTGGCTTGCTTGGTTTGGGACTTGTGGAGCTGCGCATCAATGGATTTTCTCTTTAGTGTTTGGACCTTTAGCATTGAAAATTAAACCATACTGAACTGAATTAAACTGAACTTCAACTCTGAAATCTGGACTGACACAGGGTCATAGAACTTCTATGTTAAGCTGCTTTGAAACAATCTACATTGTAAACGCACTATAGAATTAAACATGTACATTGGTTTTAAAATGATCAATTGCAAAACTTACTTGTCCGTACGATTGTCATTTTTCTAAAAAATATATATATATATATATACACACACATATATATATATATATATATATACACACACACATATATATACATATATATATATATATATATATATATATATATATATATATATATATAACCGATTAGTTTTTATTATTAGGTAAATTTTACATTCACCAATCCAAATAGGGTAACCTAAAACCCGGATTTGAACATTTTCAAAGAAACCTTAAAGTTGATTTTGAGTATATTGATATATATATAAAATATATATATTTATGTGTGACGCACTTTGTTTTTGGTCTAGGGGTGAAAGGTTCTTTCTTTTTTTCTTTCCTTTATAAAAAGTGTCAAGATAATTACAGTACTTTGTACAATGGAAACTCTGTCAAATAAACAGTACTACAGATCTTCAATTTGATATTTTTTATCAAATCGTATCACAGCAAAAAGTCCGCTGGTTTGAGTCTTAACTGAACCAGTTGTCATTTCTCTGTAGAGTTTGCATGTTCTACCCATGTTCACGTGGGTTTCCTCCAAGTACTCCAGTTTCCAACACAGTCCAAACACATGCACTATAGGTGAACTGAATAAACTTGACTGTGTAGAGTACGATTGTGTGTGTGTGTGTGTGTGTGTGTGTGTGTGTGTGTGTGTGTGTGTGTGTGTGTGTGTGTGTGTGTGTGTGTGTGTGTGTGTGTGTGTGTGTGTGTGTGTGTATTAAAGTCAAGTCAAAGTCAGCTTTATTGTCAATTCAGCCACATGTACAGGACATATAGAGAATCAAAATTACGCTACTTTCAGACCCCAGGAGCCTAACATATAATATTAATACAAAAAGTAGAGTTCATGTGTGTTTCTAAGTGCTGGGTTGTGGCTGGAAGGACATCCGCTGCATAAAACAAATCCCAGAGTAATTGGTGGTTCTTTCCGCTCTTGCGACCCCTGATAAATCAGGGAATAAGCCTAAGGATGGAATTGTCAATATCTATATGGCATTAATTTCTCTGTTCACAAAAGAATTAGTATAACCATTGCCTGCTTCAACCAACTGCTATTGTGTTTCTGGCAGGTTCTTTTTGAAATCTCACAAGGCCTGCATGACGATGGAAAAACTGCTTTTGACAGAATGGGAATACACAAGGGACGATGCGGTGAGTGGCTAATGATTATTATTATTTTCTTGATGACTTCACCAAGACTTCAATTCACCACATTCAAATAAGTTTGTAACATGTAGAGATCTCATCCATAGGTTTACAATGTCAGCGGGGCACATTTTGGACTGATGAAAGCACTCGTTGCACCTGTAAAGACAATCAACTTGTCTGTTCTCACATGCCCTGGTCCAACGACACGTTTGGCACCTGCCACGTGGCCTCTAACCCACACTACACGACTTTCGATGGGGTCAGCTTTCAGTTTGACAGTCCCTGTACGTACATCTTGTCAAAGGTGTGCGATGATTCAGGACTGCTTCCGGAGTTTGCAGTGGAGGTGCAGAATGAGAAGAAAGAAGAATCGCACGTGACCTCCATTCAACAGGTCAATGTCAACATATACGGTCTGAGAGTGTCCATGATGAGAGCAGAGAGGAGCAAAGTCATGGTGAGGCATCAACTATGAAACCTCATGATTAAATATGAGCAGAGTGCATACTAATGATAGAGGGGTCAACTTTTTATTAATATTAGTTTGTGTTATACATGCTTCAGTGAATCAAAATTAGATATATAATCCAAAGACATCACTTTATTAATCAAACTTATTTAAGATTTCAGTGAGGTATATTGACCTACATTGATCTTTGATAAGCTATTTCATTAGATGTGTGATTCTCAAATACAAGATATGTTGATATAAAATATGGTGACAAGTTTGCATCCTTAAGGCCGATTCATGCTGCAGAGATGAATGCCAACACACACCAACAAAAGAAGTTGGTCATTGTATTAAGAATATTTCCCTTTCTTGTTTTGTTTTTTTACAATGCTCAGATGTTCAACGATCCAACAAGCACTGATTAAAACTGTTCAGTCAGGTCAAAACAAACTCCAACCAATGGCAACACACACTGACTAGGGTGTCATACTGATCCAACAAACTTCAACAAATAAAAATAAATAAATTCAACCTCAGGTTGTGTCAATCATATTGACACACTGCCTCAGAAATGTTTGCTCAATGTTACACTGTAAAACTCAAAAGGTTACGGTAACTCAAACCATTTGAGGAAACCGATTGCAACAAGCCATTTAAGTTTAAAAATTAATCCAAATGAGTACTGTGAACTTAATCAATTTGAGTAAACTAAGCAATTTGAGCACAATAAAACCCAATAAATGAAGAGAACTCAAATCAACTGAGTACTGTAAAACCCAATAAGGTAAAGCAACTTAAACCGTTTGAGGAAACCGATTGCTACAAACCATTTGAGTTAAAAAAAAAAATTATTATCTATACAAGTGCTGTGAACTTACTCCATTTAAGCTGAAGTAATGAGGTATTTCATTAACGCTGAGTTCAAAACTATTAACTTTCAGTAAACTTTGAGTTAACTACCCTAATTTCATTTGATAAAGTTGACTGTTGGGTTATACAGTGTACAAAAATAAGTTCGACCTCAGGTTGTCTCAATCGTATTGACACACTGCTTCAGAAACTGTCATAAAAAACAAATTCTACCTCAAGTATGCTGAATTTGTGTAAGGTTTGTGTACGTGAAGAATTTTCAGATATGAATATTAAAAAAAAAAAACACAAATATAAAATTTTGCCTTCAGGATCTTTAAACTAAATACAGATACAAAATCTGTCACTGGCACGGTACCTTTTAACAGGGTGTGAATTATACAATGACGATTGGGGGGGGGTGTCAAGTTTTTCGTTTATGTTTGGTAATATGCCTCAGTGAACCAAACTTATATATTTAATTCAGTAACATCTAATTTGAGGGATATTGAGTGGTTCTCAATAATATTTGTGATAATAAATAAACGGTGACAGGTTGGCTTTCCTTTATGGATGACCATGAAAGACTGCACATATTTTTATTTTACTGTTAAACTTCCATGTGCGAGCCAGTGTATAATAAAATACAAACTATGCATCTAGACACTTATAAACACCTTTTTTTAAAGAAACATGTTTTGTAAACACTTACGCCGTCTGTTGGTGCTCCACATTTGCCAGTTTCAAACTGATTATTTTTGGCGCAAACAGGTATTTACAATGGTATGAGCCATTATAGTATATAGGGGTGGTCAAATGTATATTAAAGTTACCTATTATTTTAATTATTAATATTATTTAAGATACAGATCAGAGCAAACTATTTCTTAACTATTGAAGGACAGACCCCCTCATATATCTTTCAGGGGGAATCAAGCGTTAATCAGCGGGGTCAGACCACCCCAAACACACCTGTAATTTGCAACAAGCTACATTTTTGTTCCTAACAGGTTCTTAAAGCTACATAACATCACCTAAAAAGTTCAAATGTGTACCTTAAAAGCACAAAAGCAAACCTTAAAGATACAAAAGTGTACCCTAAATGTACTAATGTTCACCTGTACAGTACAAAAGTATACCTTTTAAAAAGTTACAGGTACAACCCCTGTGATTTTTTACCTTTATTTCTGTGTAGTGTGTAGGCTATATGTAGAAGCAAATTATACATTCACAATGGTATGAACCATTAGAGGGGTGGTCAAACATATATTTATTTTATGTATGATCATAATGATTAATATACAAATCAGAGCAAAAAATAATTCTCATTATTGTAAGGGTGACCCCTCATGCAGCTTGTTTTGACGTCCTAAACCCTGTTTTTTGTTGACATCCTTAACATCTTTTGTTGTCTCACTCAGGTCAATGGGATCTGGAAGCATCTTCCTTTACTCCTGAAATCAAACAGAGTAACGGTAAACAAGCAGGGAGATGCTCTAGTTCTTCAGACAGACTTTAAACTGTCCGTCCTCTACATGCAGTCAGGAGCCATTCAGGTGATCGTCCCCATGCAGTACTCCAACAGAATCTGTGGCATGTGTGGTAACTTCAACCAGGACCCCGAAGACGACATCAAGATCCCAAACAGGTCACAGGTTCAGATGGCTCGGGTTTTAAGGCAGAGTGTCTGTGAGGAGCCCAGTTTGCCCAAAGTCTGTTCAGAAGCAGAGGAGCAGCAGTTCTCCAGCGAGCTTTACTGTGGCATGATCACATCCAGACATGGGCCCTTCACAACCTGCTCTTCTGTTCTGAATGCAGACAGTTTCTTCCGCAGCTGCATGTTTGACATGTGCACGACTCATGGAGATCCTGCTGCCCTCTGCAATGCCATCGAGGCCTTCGGTGCCACCTGCAATAAAGTTGGCTTCTCTGTTCCAGTCTGGAGGAACTCAACGTTCTGTCGTATGTACTGATATATTTTAACTGTCGATAAAAATGGTTGCAAGTGAAATATTTGAACTTAACCAAAGAATAGGTTTACAGTGATGCAGTCACGTGGAAGTCTGTAGTCGGGTTTCCAAGCTAACGTACATTCATAAGTGCAAACTCATGTAGGTGCACTTTCATCGACTTGTTAGAGTGGCTGACTGTAGTATTGGTAACCTAGTAACCAACAGTAAACAAGGCAAGCATAATGGAAACCGCTGATTGGTCAGACTGGTTTAATGCTCACTACATCAGAGTTTATAAAGCAAATGCATTTTTTTCTCTCAATATTTTATATAATAAGTTTAAAATGTCCTCAAGTGAATGTAAAAATTATATAGCCGCAACCCTTCTCTGGGAAACAACCACACACACATTTACACACACATTCATCCACTATGGACAATTTAGCATACCCAATTCACCTGTACTGCATGTCTTTGGACTGTGGGGGAAACCGAAGCACCTGGATGAAACCTACGCGAACGCAGGGAGAACATGCAAACTCCACACAGAAACGCCAACTGACTCGAACTGGCTTGAACCAGCGACCCAGCGACGTTCTTGCTGTGAGGCGACAGCACTACCTACTGCGCCACTGCTTCGTCCATATTATAAAATCAAACTTCTCAAATTAAGTTTAGGCATAATGATAATAGAGATATTAACATTGAAACTATAGACCTTTTTCTTGGAACGCAAAATTACCCATTATGCTTTGCGTGTATGTGCAAGGAGAATGCGAAGAACATCCGGTCGGCAGCTGATGCATGTAAACAGCCACATTTGGACAGCTTTGAAACGATAGTTTTAATCTATTTTACCTGCTTTTATCCTCTTTGAGCTAATACTGTTGTCCATCAGCACCATCTCCTGACTGATCATTTAAATAAATGCGATCTAATAGGATGGAGAAAAGCTGCTGTGAGGCGTTTTCCCCTCGTTGTCAAACGGCATTTTCTGCAGTTTAAATGAAGCCTTGTCATCGCTAAAGTCAACATTTTCTCTTTATTTCAAATATATAACCAGCCCAAACAAATGTAATTCACCTAAATGTTTGACACAATCATGTAGCCTGTACTGTGCCACTGACACACTGATTTACTAACGTTGACAAAGTGAAAATATAGGCTAGTGTCATTTCGAAATGACAGAAAAACGCAAACCGTGGTGAATACAACACACGAAATAAAACACAAACGGCTCGCGATAAGAATGAACAGCAAATCAGCCAGCAGAGTATCAATAACAGACTTTTATTGGTCATTTTTGTAAATTGCACGACTTTCATACCTGTTAGGTTTCATGCCAGTACTCGGTTTGCTCTCTCTCTCTCTCTCTCTCTGTGTGTGTGTGTGTGCCTGTGTGTGTTAAAGAGCCGCCGAGCTAACAGCTGACAGGCTGGGATCGCACACACAAACTGTACGTTATTTCTGACAGCAGACACGTGAACTAGGAGAACGTTTTTCTCCTATTTCTGACGCGCTTGAACCACATGTGACAGATTATAATGGCTTTAACAGACACATTTCTAAGTTGTGTGTCACAAAAACACTCTGTTATCCATTAAAAACGTTATTGAAACCCATTTTCGGAGCGCAAATTACCAGTTGTACACGCTGTAAACTGAAGTTTTTAGCATTCTACCGAAAGACGCTGGTCGCTATGGCGCCCTCCATGCAGCAGCCATGAAAAAGGTCTATAAGGCTACTTAAAAACAGTAAATAAAATGTGGATTAAGACAATATCACAACTAAAATTAGATGTAAGTCTACTTCAAAGTCTATGCAAAGGCTTGCTACACTGTTCATCTATATCGCTGAACACAGTTTGGAGCTCTGAATTTAACTTTCAGGTTGCACCACTCATTTCTGATATGATATTTACATTCTTTAAACATGCAGCAAGCAGAAAATAGCCTTGGGTGTTGCTTTAAACCTTATTATCTCGATCTCCACCCAAAGCCATTAAACAATGAACACTTTAAGTGTGAACACAGACAAGCGATTGAAGTATTGCCAGGCAAATCATAAATCTAAATGAAAGCATGACGTGTCAGATCATTTGCGCCACTGTTAAGCAAACTCTCAGACTAATCAGAAGTCTGTTCTCCACCTAAAAACCCACACAGAAGAGCCACACTGAGTCATCGGTTATAAATCTTACAGCAGATCATATACAGTAAAGTTGAAGTCCGAATTATTAGCCCTTCTGAATTATTAGCCTGAATTAATTAAGCAAATCACTGTATAATGATGGTTTGTTCAATAGACAATCAAAAATAAAATGTTGCTTAGGAGGGCTAATAATATTGACCTTAAAATTGTTTTTAAAAAAATTAAAACTGCTTTTATTCTAGCCGAAATAAAACAAATAAGACTTTCTCCAGAAGAAAAAATATTATAGGAAATACTGTGTAAAAATCCTTGCTCTGTTGAACTTCATTTGGGAAATATGGGAAACATTTGAGAGGGTTAATAATTCTGTCTTCAACTGTGCATAGTCATATAGTCATATACATTCTTCCACACCTTTGACTGGAACATCCTGCTTTAAAGATACTTGGAAACGTACTGTAAATCTATCAGAGAGATTGATGACAATGTTTGTGTTGTAGCGGTGGAGTGCGGTCTTCACAGTCACTATAATGCCTGCGCCAGCGGCTGCCCTCAGACCTGCTCCAGCCTAGATGCCGCAGGGCCTTGTGGGAATTGTGAAGAGCGCTGCGAGTGTGACGATGGCTTTATACTCAGCGGAGGAGAGTGTGTGCTGGAAAAAGACTGTGGATGCTGGGATAATGGACAGCATTATTCGGTAATAAAGCAGCTTAGCCATATAAAATATAAAATGATAATAAATTATTTAATACAATGAACACTATTATTCCTATTATTATTTTATTATTATTATTATTATTATTATTATTATTATTATTATTATTATTATTGTAGTTGTTGTTGTTGTTGTTGTTATTGTTATTATTATAAAGCAATTTACAGATATTTTATAATTGCAGGTATTTGTAATAATAGTTATATTTTCATTAAATCAAGTGTATAAAATAATGTGGTACATTTAATTAACATTTAGTTATTATAATTCTAATAATTCATAATACACATATACGTTTACATATACAGTTATATAACATTTAATTATTATAATTATAACAATTAATTACAAGTAATAAATGAGTATTAGATGTACATTTTATATATATAAATGTATTATTAATTAATATAATATACAAATGTTATTGTTATTATTATTATCATCATTATTATTTCTTACAATTAACAGATGTTATGTTTATAATAATAATTACATTTACATTAAATCAAGTATATTAAACTGGGCATGCACATTATTATTATTATAATTAAATAATTTATATCATTTTATTAAACAAAATGTATATTAAATATTAAGGAGATTATATGAAATAAAAATGTTTATATTTATACATTTAATTTGCAATACATTGACAAATAATGTATAATAAATAATAATTGCTAATAATAATTGCTAATAATAATAATAACATATTATCAAAACCATTATTAAAACATTTAAAAAGTATATTATATTGATTGTAAAGTTTACTATATTTTATGGTGTAAAGATGTTTATAAATCTTTCATTTAATGTTCAATCCAGATCAGTGAGACATTTATGGAGGGTGAATGTGAGCAGCAATGCCAGTGTTTGGGCCATGATAATATTCAATGTTCACCAACGTCCTGCACGACTGACGAACTGTGCCTGGTGAAGGATGGGGTGAAGGGTTGTTTCCCGTCCAGCCCAGTGACCTGCAGAGTCTATGGAGACCCTCATTACATCACCTTCGACGGCAAGGCTTACTCCTTCTGGGGCACCTGTAACTACACCTTAGTGAAGACCTGCGGGCCTACAGACACCCAGTTCACCATTACCGCACGAAATGAGGGAAAGCAAAACTCTGCAACCTCCTCTCTAAACTCTGTAGCTCTTCATATGGAAGGCCTGCACATTGTTATCGGAAAGAACAAGCTGGTTAACGTGAGTTTTTTTACTTGTTTTTGTCATTCATTAAGTTTTCATTTTACTATCTGACTTGTGTTTTTAAAACAATTTACACATTCTTACACAAAAATATAATAATTCGTTAAAGACATCATTATAGAGGCATTATATACGTTGCATTTTAGAATGCACAGATGAACACTGTAGTCTCAATAGACTGCTACGGAGACCCAGAAAGGACGTGATGGTGTAGAAAAAAATTGGTGGGAGAAAAAAAAACAGTGATAGGAAAACATATTATTAAGTTTTTTTGCGTTCCCTCGCAAAGATGTTTTGTGTAATCTCTCAAAACTGTTTTTCCACAAACACTTCCTGTCCATTTCATGTAAACCCTCACGTTTCTGCCGAAATTCTCCTGTATTTTACCATTCTATTCCGCTATCATCCTATCATTAAGTATTTTCCTATATTTCTGATATATTTTTAATCTTAAAAGCACGCTGAAATTAATATTAAAGTGTCTGCATTCACTTTCTTTACATTAAAGCTGTGCGTTGATCGTCGCCTTTTATATGCAACCTCTGAACCAGTGAATGCATGCATAAGCGCGAACTGACAGACGCGCTCCATACAAAAAACTGATTCCAGATCAGCTTCTGTACACGCCATTTAAAGAGGAGCAAAAGTACAGGACACTTTTGGATTCGGGTGTACGTTTAAACAGACAGAGAAATACACTGAATAATATGTAAACATCTCCGTCCTGCATGTTTTATTTTAAACAGCTAATTGGTAAAATACGGGAGAATCTTTGCGAGGGAAGGCAAAAAAAACTTTAAAATATGTTTTCCTATCACTCTTTTCTTTTTTTTCCACCAATTTTTTTCTCCACCATCACGTCCCTTCCGGTTCTCCATAGACTGCCTTCTTCTAAACCATTAAATCAACGTGATCAAAAACTAGAGGAAGAAAGACTGAACAAAAGACCCTGATAAGCAAACTAACAACTGTACCAGAGTTCAATGAGGGGAAGTTCATTGGCAAAGCACTTCCCTAATTGTGATATATACATGGACAGTTCGTGGAAACAACTGTGCTCATGAACTGCCATCTAAAATATATGGCCCGTAATTAATGTTCACAAGAAGTGAAAATGTTCGTATTTTACTGGTAAGTGGTAAGAAATATGTTTGCATATGATCTCATCTGCTATCATTGAGTGATAACATTACTGGACTGTTCTGATAGCAACTTCTGCTTGATATAATCAGGCCTGTGGCAACGATACTGCAGGATTTAACATCAGGCGACTTTAAAAAAAAAAAAAAAAAAAAAGAATTTATCACCAACACGTTTGTGACCCAGACACTCTATAAGATCTTATCTGTAACATAATGCTCTCTGACACTTACCTGAACAATAAAACAATGTGCCAACTAACGCATGACCCAATTTTCCCTTTACAAATCCTACACATTTTTGATTGATAGAAGTATTCTGTCAATCAAGTATTCTAGTAAATGATTTTTTTTAAATCAAACAATTACAAGCACAATACTGCTGAAATTACTCCTTTTTTGTGTCTTTTTATTTTCAAGAATGTTTGTTTAATATTTGCAGCCTAAACTGCCTGTTTTTGTGATGGCTTTTCTCAAAACGTATGCCTTTATTTGCTTTAGCTCCTGTGCTTTACAGTAAAATAAACAAAAACTACTGAACTGGAGGGACTGCAAAAAAATAGGCAAGCAAACTTATTTCCAGACCATTATGGGTTTTGTTTTGTTTTTCCTCAAAAAAAATGTATATCTAATCTCTAAAAGAATCAAAACTAAAAATTGAAAAAAAATTAATCAAATTGAAAAAATATATATGTATATCGGCACTGGTGGGAGGCGTGCATTAGCCGCGTTTCCACTATCGCGCCTAAAGCAACCGAGCCAGGGCGAGCCAAGGCCAGTCGCGTTTCCACCTTTCACTTTCACTTGATAAAATAGCCTAAGCTATATTGAAATAATTTAAAGAATTACAAATATTACATATAATAAAATCGCATAAAATAAATAAACCAATATAAAAGCTAGCTAAAATAATGTAGGTATATACAATACACAAATCAAACCTTTTTACAGCCTTATTAAACTTTCATTTTACAAAGGAATATCTGAAAAAAAAGAGAGAAATATTTGAGATATTTTCTAAAAACAACAAACACCGGAGAAGGTTTGAAATATTATTTATAAAGTATTTGGATACGATGTTATAAAATACATTTTCTACTGAGTTATTAACAGAATTTCTGTGGTGTTATATTATGGATAGTGCACTCCCTGCGCTGGTGAGACCACTCAATGTTTGATGCCAACAGTGGGTCGGTGAGTAAATGAATATGAACGAGAACTAACAGGCCCGTGCGTATAGACATATCATGTACTGCTGTACAGCAACGTGTCACTTGTTTGTTTCAGTTGTCTTCATTTTAATGGTTTAGTGAGGATGCGATGGTGCGCTTTACCTGCCTGATTCCCGCTGAAGTGTGTGAGTTGTGTGAAGTTTGATTTGGGGGAAGTTTTGGGGGCAGGGTTTGCCTGACGCACTGCAAGCTTCTAGTCCGACAGTGGAAACGCAACATGACTTACTGCTCACCTCCCGGGCGATTGGCCCGGCCCGATAAAAGCCCTGGCTCGCACTGGCCCGACAGTGGAAATGCGGCTATTGACTCGAGGCCACAGTTTGAGTGCCTTAGACCAGTGGTCACCAAACTTGTTCCTGGAGGGCCGGTGTACTGCAGATTTTAGCTCCAACCCTAATCAAACACACCTGAACAAGCTAATCAAGGTCTTACTAGGTATACTTGATACATCCAGGCAGGTGTGTTGAGGCAAGATGGAGCTAAACCCTGCAGGGACACCGGCCCTCCAGGACCAGGATTGGTGACCCCTGCCTTAGACACTCAACTGCTATATCGCACTGCTACAAGTGTGATACTGCATCTATACAGCAGTTTGATGGCACAATTGTGTATACAAAAAGGAAAATCAAACATGGAGAGTCTCAAAAATCCTTGTATACGATGAACTACTTTCTTCCACTACTCATTTACATAAAAATAACAGCAGAGACTATTTGTACTTCACAAACGTCACTTTAGATGTAGAATTTAAATGATTCTCTAGCTTAATGTCTAAAGTTATGACAAAACAGGTCATTTTTGCTCACATTTTAAGATTATAAGGCTGAACGACATGAAACGCCATCCGTGTACATTTCCCAGTATTTCTCTGCTGCAATCAGGATATCACAATAATTAACCCAGAAAAAGTCAAAGCAAAGCAAACACTAACAGATCACAATGGTATAAATACAGCACTGCAACAAACAAAAGAGAGAAATCAACTTAGAGTGTCGCTTAGATGTTTTATGATGATTAAAACAGCTGTAATTTGAAATTTACGCTGAGTATTTCCTCCTCTATTTTCTCCTTATTATGCAGTCTCTGTCACCATCTTGTGACAGAACGTCAACCGTCTTAGCTCTGCTCAGTATGCTTAGTTGCTTTCTAAACAACTACATTCCTACCTAAAAAGCCTCAAAAGTAAATTATGTTGTCCAACAGCTGCAATATTTGTCAAACTGCAGTGAGTTAGAGAGTTTTTAGTCCCTCTTTAGTCCTAGTGTGTGCAAAGTAATATATATATATATATATATATATATACACACATATATACACACACACACACAAATATAGCCTATTTTAGGACCACTGATTTTTCCCAGAAGTTCACAAATAACCCATTCATAACATTCACCATTCATATTTCAATCAAAAATCAACATTAAAAAGTCAATAAAGAAGTCTAATTTACTTCAATAAATTTGTTTAAAAAAATTATAATTTTTTTTTTAATTTCCCTTATAAAACAGAAATAATAAAAGAGTAAAGTGCAGCATAAATCGCTGCCAATAAATATTAAAAATTTCATAAATCAAACTCCTAATTCCTTTCAACAGATTGGAGTAAATGTCAAACTAAGAAAAATAGTTAGAGAAAAAGAGGTAAAGTGAGGTATCGCTTCTTACCTTACCTTGACATTTTTCTTCCCTCCAGGTAAACGGCGGTCAGGTTCGCCTTCCTGCGCAGTTTGGTTCATCTCTGTCTGCATTTGAGTCTGGTCCTTACATTCAGCTCGATACAAACTTCCGCCTTAGGTTGCTGTTTGGAAACGCCAGGCTGTTCATCCAGGTGGATGAGAGATATGAAGGCGAGCTCTGCGGCCTGTGCGGCACCTACTCTGGCAGTCAGTTTGATGATTTCCTGACACCCGACGGAACCCTGGTGGCAATTGCGCACGAGTTCGCCAGCAGCTGGAATAACAATGACAGCGAGTGGCCGTAAGAGATCAATGATCACACAATTTGTATTTATTCGTTCAAATAATGGCTATGAATTTGTAAAGACAAAGTTAATGGGTCATAAATCAAAAATATTTTAATTTCAACTATTATATAGGCTAATAATAGAATAATTGCTTTCTAAAAACAAATTGGCAAAATAAGTCATGTATTTATACACATAAAGCTGATATGTGTGTCTAAAATTGATAGTTTCAATAAATATATTTTTAGAAATATATTTTCTTCCAGTGTTACATAGAAAATGCATTCATGTCAATATATTTCAGCAAATATATTTTCACAATTTTTATATTTATATTATTTTTTATATATAATAAAATATAATATAATATAATATAATATAATATAATATAATATAATATAATATAATATAATATAATATAATATAATATAATACATATTTTAACATGATTACTCAAAAAAATGTAATACTTTATAAAAAATATTCAAAAGTATTGTTAAAGACAGACAGTTAATTGGTTATTGGGCAGATACAAAGCCATTTATTATGACAGGTGTGATGTTTCTCCTGATGATTTAAAGGGATACTTCACACACAAGGATTTCATAGGGTATTATTTTCAGCGTAATGACAATTTTTTTCTGGCATGTTTATAACAATGTGGTTTGTAAACGAGTCAAATCTTTCTATAAAATCGTTTGATCCTGTTCACAAAGATGATTTGATTGATACAGAGATTAATCATCCACAATTTTTAAAGTGATTATGTGTATTTTCTAAATATTTTAATGATATTTTTTAAATAAAAGCATATAATTTAATTTCAACATTCATATAAGCTACCCAAATAATTTCAAAATATATTTTAGGGATGATACAATTCCAATAATATAATATAATATAATATAATATAATATAATATAATATAATATAATATAATATAATATAATATAGAAAATAAAATAATTCAATATAATATTTTAACATATGGGACAATTGTTAAATGAAAAAAAAATGATTAAAAAAAAGTCTAGAAATTTAGCATTTTCATTTTTTTACACTCTATCATGTTAGAGGATATTATATGATAATCCTCATATCTTACATCTATCTGATTTCTTACTGTCTAAAGAAAATCAATAAAACTGCTGAAGAAACCAGCTTAAACATTTGAAACATTTAAAACTCTACTAACATAACAACAAACAAGATCAGCATCAATATAAAATGTTTAAAACTAACACATAGTTCACTATTTTTTTCCAGTTGTAGTGATGGTTCTCCAGACCCCCCTGCATGCCATCCAGGTCTGGAGGATGATGCATATACGAAGTGCAGTGAACTATTTGAAGAACCTTTTAAAGAGTGCCACTGGTTCGTTCCACCCCAGATTTATGTCAGCAGCTGCGTTTCTGATTACTGCATGTCCCAGGGGGACAAAGCTCAGCTTTGCACCTCTTTGGAGGACTATGTGTCTGCTTGTGAGATGGCTGAGGTGTTTCTGCCCCAATGGAGGAATCATACCTTATGCTGTAAGTGTGTTGCAAAATAAACATTTACTCTTTTATATTAATATGCATAGTTAAAGTCAAAATTATTAGCCCTCCTGTGAAATGTTTCTTATTTTTTAAATATTTCTCAAATAAAGTGTTTAACAGAGCGAGGAAATTTTCACAGTATGTCTGCTAATATTTTTTTCTTCCGAGAAAGGCTTTTTTTTTTTTTCAGCTAGATTAAAAAGCAGGGGGGTTTAACCAATACCAAGGTCAATATTATTAGCCCCTTTAAGCTAGATATATTTTTTAGATTGTGTACAGAACAAACCATCATTATACAATAACTTGTCTAATTACCCTTGCCTGTCTAATTAACGTAATTAACCAAGTTATGTCTTTAAATGTCGCTTTAAGCTGAATAGAAGTGTCTTGAAAAATATCTAGTAAAATAGTAGAATTCCGGGAGTTTTTCAAGAGACAGTCCAATATGGTAGATGGGCAGGGAATGGGTCTGAAATATGGGAGACTCCCGGGAAAAACGGGAAGTGTTGGCAGGTATGACTTACATACTGCAAAATATTTTTGTGTTGCACCATGGAACTTAGTTTAAACATAACATTACATTCCAACTAAATACTTATGGAAACCTCCCCCCATATATAGTGCTGAAAAAATGACAGCAAGATTAGTTTGCGTTAAGGAGCTTACGGTAATGATCTCCCTCTACTCACAGCGTTAATTTCCTCCTAAATCTCACTTTTTTTCGGTTCATGAAAGAGGAGTTTAATTCGTTTTCAAGGAGTGTTTTGTGTTAATTGTATCCATCAATTAAAATGAAAATTTCCCTTTCTATTTCCCTTCTATTCTCTTTCATGTGTAGGATATTTTTTTTTAATAATCAAATATAATGTGTTGACAATTTCATGTCAATTTTGCTTGCACTCATGGCTCGCGATGCAGGTATGTGCGTCATCTGTTATTAATTACTGACTATAATATAATGTATGCTAGGCTACTATAAAAAGGTATTTGTCATTTAAGTTTTATAGGACAATTAAAGTTGAAGTCAGAATTTTTAAACCGTCTTTTAATTTATATATATATATATATATATATATATATATATATATATATATATATATATATATATATATATATATATATATATATATATATATATATTTCCCAAATGATGTTTAACAGAGCAAGGAATTTTTCACAGTATCAGATAATATTTTTTTTCTTCTGGAGAAAGTCTTATTTGTTTTATTTTGGCTAGAATAAAAGCAGTTTTTAATCATTTAAAACCATTTTAAAGTCAAAATTATTGGCCCCTTTAAGTTTTTTTTCAGATAGTCGAACAGAACAAACCATCATTATACAATAACTTTCCTAATTACCCTAACCTTAGTAGTTAACCTAATTAACCTACTTAAGCCTCTAAATGTCACTTTAAGCTGTTTAGACGAAAATAAATAATATTTTAGATATTATTTGCTGTCATCATGGCAAAGATAAAATAAATCCGTTTTTAGTAATGAGTTATTAAAACTATCATGATTAGATCGTTTTATATAGATTATTAAACAGAAATTAGGAGGCAAAAATAAACAAGGGGCTAATAATTCCAATAAGGATAATAATAATAAGGTTGAATAATTCAGATTTTAAAGCAGTTTAACTATTAAAATGCCCTTATTGGATATAACAACATTCGATGCGACTACACTGCACACAGAGCTTGTGACCTATTAACTATGGCTTCCTTAAGAACATGAGGTGCAACTGAAGTAAGAACAGATTTAGTTACAAACTAGCTAGTAGTTAATAAGCCCTTAGTGTGGACTTTACTTTCCAGTTTAAGAACAAACTTAAGGAACAAACTTAAAGTAATAGGTTCATTCCGCTGTGGCAACCCCAGACCCCAAATAAATAAAGGAACTGAGCCAAAAAGAAAATCAATGAATGTATGAATGAATGATATACCTTAACCCTATGGATGTTTTTATTTCTCAATACAGTTGCCAATCCTACAGCACCACCAACAAACAAGCCCACACCAACTCCATCCTCTGCAAGTAAGCACTCTCTCGTTTTTCTCTTTCGTTTCTTTCCTCTTGCTTTATTCTCAATATTAATTAATTCCCTCGTCATCAACCAGGTTGTCCATGGAGCTGTAACTTTGACCAGGATGAATGTGGGTGGGAACAACTCATCCAAGACAGTTTTGATTGGACGAGGTGGTCAGGATCAACTCCATCAAACTTCACCGGGCCAAATGGTGATCACACCACAGGAAGTAAGTCTAAAATAGATTATGGCATTCTGACTATATCCTGCATTTCATGTAAACATTGGGTCAATGTCAATAGCATGTAAGCATCCCTTTTCCTCTCACTGATTGTTTTAAATAGGTGGCTTTTACATGTATATCGAAGGAGACAGTGTAGTCCATGGTGACTCAGCCCGAATAATGAGTCCCGACTGTCACACTTCTGGCCAGCAGTGTTTGAGTTTTTGGTTTCACATGTACGGGCCGGCACATTTCATGTCACTCAACCTCTACAAGTTTGAAAACAACCGTGCCACCAAAATATGGTCCAGAGAAAACAACCATGGTAATCGCTGGATCCAAGGACAAGTAGAAATCAAGCCACAAAATCCATTCCAGGTACGTTTCTGTATGTCCACATGAAAAGTAGAAGGCATTAGCCTGGTTTCCACCTAATGTGAAGTGAATGTTTGCAAAATAACCAAAAAAAAGAAGTGAATTATGCGCATTTCCACAAAGTCCCTTTAAGGCAAGTCATTTCACTCGAAGGCCATCTTTGAAACACCTCTTGGGCAGTATGCTCTGGCATTCTGCTTGAAAGAGGAAACATCAAATTCTCCAAAACTGCTTGCCAAGCTTACCATTGAATTTCATATTAGGAATCATCAATGAAATCAAACAACAACTGTCTATTTAGTTTCATTTCTAAACATCCATTTCAATCTGCAGAAACTCACGTCTGGTCCAAGCCCCTACCCTGGAGTATCGTCAGTCTATAGCGATCGATGATTGGCTCCTGTACTAGAAGGCGGGCTTTATTCGCCATATATTGATCGATGATTAACTCCTGTACTAGTAGGCGGGGCTTTATTCACCATATTGACCATTACACTTTCCTCCATTTAAAAAGAAACGAGTGACATGTCTTGTGTATTCTAGTCTTTGATTTTCATCAAGTTGTTAGAGTGGCTGACTGTAGTATTGGTAACCTAGCAACCAAGTAAACAAGGCATGCAAAATATAATTGACAGAGTTTATTCAGCAAATGTGTTTTCATCTCCCATAGGTTCTTTTCAATCACATGGTGACACAAGAAATTCAGATGAAGGGCAGGAAGTAAAAAACAGAATGTGAAAGATAGAAGAAAGTCTTTATTTTTGCATTATACCATATTTCAAAGGAGATATAAGTAGAACATAATTACATATGTTGGGTATGATCCTTATATCATGTAGACAGCAGAGCTTTCTACTAAACTAGTGTACATTATTCATTTATTTATGTAAGGGGGGAAAAGTGCTCCCCAATAATAACCGTCTAGTTTTGTCACAAGGGTTGCATTTCTTTTTTTTGATCGATGAACTTACCATCAACAAACATTCACCGCTGCTGCACATCTCGATGCTAATGTTACGGTTGTTTATTCCGTCAAAACGCCAGTAAAGGTATGGATTTTTGCAAAACATTTTTTTTGCAAGGCATTATTTATATTCTTAAGGATATTCTCAAGTATGTTGGTGTTTGTAGTTTTATATAACAAGTTAACATCTTTAAACACATAGCTAGGACTGTATAAAGTCTGTATTGGTGCTGTCAAAAGAATTATCGCAGTTAAAAGAAAGTTTTAACACATAGATATATTGAATAAATGTTAATTAAATGCTGCCTTTTCTTCCGTTTTTCAGCCAGTTTCTTGAATTTTGCCAAAAATGGAAGTGAAATGGTCAAGTGGTTGGAAGTCTATAAAAGCTGTTTGGCATTTGTTATTTTGGCAGATTTAAACAATTATAAACAACATAAAACATAAATATTGTGATGTTCTGATAGCGATTCCTATGTAGAAGAACCACCTGCCTCCTACCTCCTGCCCTCTGTCAGAATTTCGCACATCAATGATAACATGTGAAAACAACCTATTATTTGCGTTAACCCTTTTTCACACATGTCTCAACCACCAACCACCTGAAATGAGTGGAAAAACGTTTTTGTGACTCAACATATTTGCATAAAAAATTTGGCAATTCCATCACTCGTTTCTCATGTAATACTTTAAAATGTATATTAACACAGGGAATGGAAACCGATAGATGTCTGACAAAATAGAAGAAAGTCCAGATCAGATATGTGGCCGGCCGGAAGTGCGATATGCATATCAACATTTGTAATGACACTGTATAACAATAATTAATATTTTTACTGTACTTTGATGGTTGGGTTTATGGTTGGGGAGAGGGTAGGCATTAAAAAATACAATTTATTAGGTAATTTAACTGATAGTATAAATAATACTCGATATAAACACTGCTTTTAAGTTACTGTGACGGTTTAGTTTAAGATTGGGGTGGGGGTAGACATTAATAAAATACAATAAATGGGAAATTTAATAACAAATAATATAAATAATTCTCGGTAACTTCTGACCACAACTGTATCTTATCTAGCAACAACCAAAAAATAGCTCGAGTGTATATATAATGGTGTATATATAATGTGTATAATATAATGGATTTTTTCAGATCATCATTGAAGGCATCAGGGGGTCAGATCCTCGCTCAGATGTGGCCATAGATGACGTTACCATAACACATGGGGCATGTGATTGTAAGTATTTCAGAAATAAACTTCAGTAATGCTGTTAACCATATATGTATGAAACATTTTTAACATAATATAGTTATTGATATTGCATTGGCAGATTCGTCTGTAGAAGATTCAGAATCAACCACTCTGGAACCCCATCTCACTTCTCCAAATGTTGTCGATCCCTATCCAAGTAAGATTTCTAACAATTATGTCAATGTGAAAGTGATTTAAAACACTCTTTAGACAATTAACATTACTCATAGGTAATTGTTCCTGCAGTTCGTATTAGGGAATTGCACAAAGATCTCAAATTTAAAGTATACTCTCAATAAACAAAGATTTGTCTTGTGAATTTAAAGGTGAAATGAATAGGGTGAAGGTCATTCTTGGTCTATGTCATTGCATTACAACTTTGCGATTGCTTTGATTTGTCAGATTGCAGAATGAGCTGTGATTTTGAAAGTGACATCTGCAGCTGGACTCAGATGGTAACTGATGTTTTTGATTGGACAAGACACAGAGGCTCCACCCCCACATCAATGACCGGCCCCTCCTTTGACCACACAACAGGAAGTAGGTCAACATCCATAATTTAACTTACTGTTCAATCCTTTGATCATTTCTCTAATAAGTTGTCTCATTTTCTAGGTGCAGGTGGCTTTTATATGTATATTGAGGGTGACAGTGCTCTCCATGGTGACACGGCCCGCCTCATCAGTCCACAATGTGCTGATCCTCAACCTCAGTGTCTCCAGTTCTGGTACCACATGTATGGCTCCAGCTGGACCATGGGACTGAGTGTCTACCTGTTGCAAAACGGCAATGTTTTTAAACAGGTGTGGAGGAAGGGAGAAGACCAGGGAAACATGTGGCATCTTGCAAGGGTGGACATTAAATCAGATGTTAAGTTCCAGGTTTGTAAAATTTTGACAACAATTTAAACTTCCTCAAATTCTCTACATATTAAAGTAAATATATCAAAATATGAGATCTAATCTGTAGATATTTGTTATTGGTGTATCAGGTGATCTTTGAGGGGCGTAGAGGAAGCTCAAGCTGGTCAGATGTTGCCATTGATGATGTCTCACTGCACAGGGGACCCTGTAGCGGTATGTTTCTACTGTGTGTTGATTCTTAGTAAAACATTAAGGTTTACCAACAGATCAATATTTTTAGCAAAATTAGTTTTCCACTTGAAAAAAAAAAATCATGAATTAATGTGTTAATAGTGGTAAATATCTTTTAGATTTACCAAACCACGCGGATCCACCAACACTCCCCCCACCTCTACCTGCAACAACACAACAACCTGCACCCAATCAAACTGCAAATGTACCAAACACCTCACCATGTAAGACTACTGTCCACCATGAACTAACATTCTACCATAAAACTAACTAACTACCATAATTATTTCTCTGCATCTTCCAATGTTATCAAGAAGTTACTAATGAAATGTGCTTTTTTTCAGCTTGCAACATCAACTGTGACTTTGAAAAAGACATTTGCACTTGGACTCAGTTGGCAACTGATGTTTTTGATTGGACAAGACAAAGAGGCTCCACCCCCACACCACTGACTGGTCCCTCCTCTGACCACACAACAGGAAGTGGGTTTTGTTTTCTAGATCTAGAATTCTACATTTTGAGCATCCAAATTATAACAATTTCCAATCTCCAAATTTATGTTTGTGTTGCTCAACTTCTTTCCCAGGTGGCTTTTATATGTACATTGAGGGTGACAGTGCCCTTCATGGTGACACAGCCCGTCTCCTCAGTGCACAATGTGCTGACCCTCAACCTCAGTGTCTTCAGTTCTGGTACCACATGTATGGCTCCAGCTGGACTATGGGCCTGAGTGTCTACTTGCTGCAATATGGTAATGTGGCCAAAGAGGTGTGGAGGAAGAGAGAAGACCAAGGAAACATGTGGCATCTTGCACAGGTGGACCTAAGACCAGATGTTAAGTTCCAGGTCAGTGAAAGTTTGATAATAACCTAATCTTCTTCAGATGCTCTTTAATTAAAGGTAAATATACTAATCTGTAGACATGTTGTTGGTCTAATAGGTGATCTTTGAGGGGCGTAGAGGAAGCTCAGAACGGTCAGATGTTGCCATTGATGACATCTCACTACACAGAGGACCCTGTAGTGGTAGGTTTCTACAGTGTGGAGACCCTTAGTAAAAACTTTGAGCTTCAGGACCACCAAGACAGCTCATTTAGCACAACAACTAGGTTTTGCAAACCGATGCCTTACTTAAAATATAAATATTTACAATTGTAAATATCTTTCAGATTTACCAAACCACGTGGTTCCACCAACACTCCCCCCACCTCCACCTCCAACAACACCACAACCTGCCCCCATCCAAACTACAGAAGTACTAAACGCCTCACCATGTAAGACCACTGTCCATCACTGCAAAGTGATCACATTCTGTTATAAGTGATGGTACCAAAAATAACATTACTGTGATTACTTCACTGGGTCTTGCAATGTCTTCAGGAAGAGACGAATGAAACTGGTAATTAAATGTGCTTCTTTTTTCCAGCTTGCAACATCAACTGTGACTTTGAAAAAGACATTTGCACTTGGACACAGTTGGCAACTGATGTGTTTGATTGGACAAGACAAAGAGGCTCCACCCCCACACAACTGACTGGTCCTTCCTCTGACCACACAACAGGAAGTGGGTTTTGTTTTCTTGTTTTAGAATTCTACATTTTGAGCATCCAAATTAAAATGATTTCCAATCTCCAAATTTATGTTTGTGTTGCTCAACTTCTTTCCCAGGTGGCTTTTATATGTACATTGAGGGTGACAGTGCTCTTCATGGTGACACAGCTCGTCTCCTCAGTGCACAATGTGCTGACCCTCAACCTCAGTGTCTCCAGTTCTGGTACCACATGTATGGCTCCAGCTGGACTATGGGACTGAGTGTCTACTTGCTGCAATATGGTAATGTGGCCAAAGAGGTGTGGAGGAAGAGAGAAGACCAAGGAAACATGTGGCATCTTGCACAGGTGGACCTAAGACCAGATGTTAAGTTCCAGGTCAGTGAAAGTTTGACAATAACCTAATCTTCTTCAAATGCTCCACAATTAAAGGTAAATATACTAATCTGTAGACATATTATTGGTCTATTAGGTGATCTTTGAGGGGCGTAGAGGAAGCTCAGCACGGTCAGATGTTGCTATTGATGACATCTCACTGCACAGAGGACCCTGTAGTGGTAGGTTTCTACAGTGTGGAGACCCTTAGTATAAACATTGAGCTTCAGTACCAAGTCAGCTTATTTAGCACAACAACTAGGTTTTGCAAACCGATGCCTTACTTAATATATAAATATTTGCATTTGTAAATATCTTTCAGATTTACCAAACCACGTGGTTCCACCAACACTCCCCCCACCTCCACCTCAAACAACACCACAACCTGCCCCCATCCAAACTACAGAAGTGCCAAACGCCTCACCATGTAAGATCACTGTCCACCATTGCAGATTGATCACATTTTGTTACAAGTGATGGTGCCAAAAATAACACTACTGTGATTACTTCACTGGGTCTTACAATGTTTTTTTTTAGGAAGAGACGAATGAAACTGGTAATTAAATGTGCTTCTTTTTTCCAGCTTGCAACATCAACTGTGACTTTGAAAAAGACTTTTGCACTTGGACTCAGTTGGCAACTGATGTTTTTGATTGGACAAGACAAAGAGGCTCCACCCCCACACCATTGACTGGTCCCTCCTCTGACCACACAACAGGAAGTGGGTTTTGTTTTCTTGATCTAGAATTCTACATTTTAAGCATCCAAATTATAACAATTTCCAATCTCCAAATTTATGTTTGTGTTGTTCAACTTCTTTTCCAGGTGGCTTTTATATGTACATTGAGGGTGACAGTGCTCTTCATGGTGACACGGCACGTCTCCTTAGTGCACAATGTGTTGACCCTCAACCTCAGTGTCTCCAGTTCTGGTACCACATGTATGGCTCCAGCTGGACTATGGGACTGAGTGTCTACTTGCTGCAATATGGTAATGTGGCCAAAGAGGTGTGGAGGAAGAGAGAAGATCAAGGAAACATGTGGCATCTTGCACAGGTGGACCTAAGACCAGATGATAAGTTCCAGGTCAGTGAAAGTTTGACAATAACCTAATCTTCTTCAAATGCTCCACTATTAAAGGATAATATACTAATCTGTAGACATATTATTGGTCTATTAGGTGATCTTAGAGGGGCGAAGAGGAAGCTCAGCACGGTCAGATGTTGCCATTGATGACATCTCACTGCACAGAGGACCCTGTAGTGGTAGGTTTCTACAGTGTGGAGACCCTTAGTAAATACATTGAGCTTCAGTACCAAGTCAGCTTATTTAGCACAACAACTAGGTTTTGCAAAACTATGCCTTACTTAATACATAAATATTTACAATTGTAAATATCTTTCAGATTTACCAAACCATGTGGTTCCACCAACACTCCCCCCACCTCCACCTCAAACAACAACACAACCTGCCTCCATCCAGACTACAGAAGTGCCAAACGCCTCAGCACGTAAGATCACTGTGCACCACTTCAGATCGATCACATTCTGTTATAAGTGATGGTGCCAAAAATAACACTACTGTGATTACTTCACTGGATTTTACAATGATTTCATGAAGAGGCTAATAAAATCCTTAATGACGTTTGGCTTTTTTTCCAGCTTGTCAAATCAACTGTGACTTTGAAAAGGACATTTGCACTTGGACTCAGTTGGCAACTGATGTTTTTGATTGGACAAGACAAAGAGGCTCCACCCCCACACCATTGACTGGTCCCTCCTCTGACCACACAACAGGAAGTGGGTTTTGTTTTCTAGATCTAGAATTCTACATTTTAAGAATCCAAATGATAACATTTTCCAATCCCCAAACTTATGTTTGTGTTGCTCAACGTCTTTCCCAGGTGGCTTTTATATGTTCATTGAGGGTGACAGTGCTCTTCATGGTGACACAGCCCGTCTCCTCAGTGCACAATGTGCTGACCCTCAACCTCAGTGTCTCCAGTTCTGGTACCACATGTATGGCTCCAGCTGGACTATGGGACTGAGTGTGTACTTGCTGCAATATGGTAATGTGGCCAAAGAGGTGTGGAGGAAGAGAGAAGACCAAGGAAACATGTGGCATCTTGCACAGGTGGACCTGAGACCAGATGATAAGTTCCAGGTTAGTGAAAGTTTGATAATAACCTAATCTTCTTCAAATGCTCCACAATTAAAGGTAAATATACTAATCTCTAGAAATGTTGTTGGTCTATTAGGTGATTTTTGAGGGGCGTAGAGGAAGCTCAGCACGGTCAGATGTTGCCATTGATGACATCTCACTGCACAGAGGACCCTGTAGTGGTAGGTTTCTACAGTGTGGAGACCCTTAGTAAATACATTGAGCTTCAGTACCAAGTCAGCTTATTTAGCACAACAACTAGGTTTTGCAAAACTATGCCTTACTTAATATATAAATATTTGCAATTGTAAATATCTTTCAGATTTACCAAACCATGTGGTTCCACCAACACTCCCCCCACCTCCACCTCCAACAACACCACAACCTGCCCCCATCCAAACTACAGAAGTGCCACATGCATCAGCATGTAAGACCACTGTGCACCACTGCAAAGTGATCACATTCTTTTATAAGTGATGGTATCAAAAATAACATTACTGTGATTACTTCACTGGGTCTTACAATGTTTTCAGGAAGAGACGAATGAAACTGGTAATTAAATGTGCTTCTTTTTTCCAGCTTGTCAAATCAACTGTGATTTTGAAAAAGACGTTTGCACTTGGACTCAGTTAGCAACTGATGTTTTTGATTGGACAAGACAAAGAGGCACCACCCCCACACCATTGACTGGTCCCTCCTCTGACCACACAACAGGAAGTGGGTCTTGCTTTTCTAGGAGTTATTCAATATGAAAAATACAGCATTTTCTTTTAGATGGAAAAAATGTTTTGTTGCAAAAAATTATATGACCCATTTGCCTATTTAAGAGTATGTTTTCCTCACTCAAATTTCCAGGTGGCTTTTATATGTACATTGAGGGTGACAGTGCCCTTCATGGTGACACGGCACGTCTCCTTAGTGCACAATGTGCTGATCCTCAACCTCAGTGTCTCCAGTTCTGGTACCACATGTATGGCTCCAGCTGGACTATGGGCCTGAGTGTCTACTTGCTGCAATATGGTAATGTGGCCAAAGAGGTGTGGAGGAAGAGAGAAGACCAAGGAAACATGTGGCATCTTGCACAGGTGGACCTGAGTCCAGATGTTAAGTTCCAGGTTAGTGAAAGTTTGACAATAACCTAATCTTCTTCAAATGATCCACAATTAAAGGTAAATATACTAATCTGTAGACATGTGGTTGGTCTATTAGGTGATCTTTGAGGGGCGTAGAGGAAGCTCATCCCGGTCAGATGTTGCCATTGATGACATCTCACTGCACAGAGGACCCTGTAGTGGTAGGTTTCTACAGTGTGGAGACCCTTAGTAAAAACATTGAGCTTCAGGACCAAGTCAGCTTATTTAGCACAACAACTAGGTTTTGCAAACCGATGCCTTACTTAATATATAAATATTTGCAATTGTAAATATCTTTCAGATTTACCAAATCATGTGGTTCCACCAACACTCCCCCCACCTCCACCTCCAACAACACCACAACCTGCCTCCATCCAAACTACAGAAGTACCAAACGCCTCAGCAAGTAAGATCACTTTCCACCACTGCAGAGTGATCACATTCTGTTATAAGTGATGGTACCAAAAATAATATTACTATGATTACTTCACTGGGTCTAACAAATTTTTCAGGAAGAGACGAATGAAACTGGTAATTAAATGTGCTTTTTTCCAGCTTGTCACATCAACTGTGACTTTGAAAAAGACATTTGCACTTGGACTCAGTTGGCAACTGATGTGTTTGATTGGACAAGACAAAGAGGCTCCACCCCCACACAACTGACTGGTCCCTCCTCTGACCACACAACAGGAAGTGGGTTTTGTTTTCTTGATCTAGAATTCTACATTTTAAGCATCCAAATTATAACAATTTCCAATCTCCAAATTTATGTTTGTGTTGCTCAACTTCTTTCCCAGGTGGCTTTTATATGTACATTGAGGGTGACAGTGCTCTTCATGGTGACACAGCCCGTCTCCTTAGTGCACAATGTGCTGATCCTCAACCTCAGTGTCTTCAGTTCTGGTACCACATGTATGGCTCCAGCTGGACTATGGGCCTGAGTGTCTACTTGCTGCAATATGGTAATGTGGCCAAAGAGGTGTGGAGGAAGAGAGAAGACCAAGGAAACATGTGGCATCTTGCACAGGTGGACCTAAGACCAGATGATAAGTTCCAGGTCAGTGAAAGTTTGACAATAACCTAATCTTCTTCAAATGCAGCACACATTACAGTAAAAATACTAATCCGTAGACATATTATTGCTCTATTAGGTGATCTTTGAGGGGCGTAGAGGAAGCTCAGCCCGCTCAGATGTTGCCATTGATGACATCTCACTACACAGGGGACCCTGTAGTGGTAAGTTTCTACATTGTGGAGACCCTTAGTAAAACATTGAGCTTCAGGACCACCAAGTCCGCTTATTTAGCACAACAACTAGGTTTTGCAAAAAGACTTTTTAGTTGTTATATAAATATTTGCAATTGTAAATATCTTTCAGATTTACCAAACCATGTGGTTCCACCAACACTCCCCCCACCTCCACCTCCAACAACACCACAACCTGCCTACATCCAGACTACAGAAGTGCCAAACGCATTAGCATGTAAGATCACTGTGCACTACGGCAAAGTGATCACATTCTGTTATAAGTGATGGTACCAAAAATAACATTACTGTGATTACTTCACTGGGTCTTGCAATGTCTTCAGGAAGAGACGAATGAAATTGGTAATTAATTGTGCTTCTTTTTTCCAGCTTGCAACATCAACTGTGACTTTGAAAAAGACATTTGCACTTGGACACAGTTGGCAACTGATGTTTTTGATTGGACAAGACAAAGAGGCTCCACCCTCACACCATTGACTGGTCCCTCCTCTGACCACACAACAGGAAGTGGGTCTTGCTTTTCTAGGAGTTATTCTATATGAAAAATACAGCATTTTCTTTTAGATGAAAAATTGTTTTGTTGCAAAAAATATATGACCCATTTGCCTATTTAAGAGTATGCTTTCCTCACTCACATTTCCAGGTGGCTTTTATATGTACATTGAGGGTGACAGTGCCCTTCATGGTGACACAGCCCGTCTCCTTAGTGCACAATGTGCTGATCCTCAACCTCAGTGTCTTCAGTTCTGGTACCACATGTATGGCTCCAGCTGGACTATGGGACTGAGTGTCTACTTGCTGCAATATGGTAATGTGGCCAAAGAGGTGTGGAGGAAGAGAGAAGACCAAGGAAACATGTGGCATCTTGCACAGGTGGACCTAAGACCAGATGTTAAGTTCCAGGTCAGTGAAAGTTTGATAATAACCTAATCTTCTTCAAATACTCCACAATTAAAGGTAAATATACTAATCTGTAGACATGTTGTTGGTCTATTAGGTGATCTTTGAGGGGCGTAGAGGAAGCTCATCCCGGTCAGATGTTGCCATTGATGACATCTCACTGCACAGAGGACCCTGTAGTGGTAGGTTTCTACAGTGTGGAGACCCTTAGTAAAAACATTGAGCTTCAGAACCAATAAGTCTACTTGGCACAACAACTAGGTTTTGCAAAATAATGCCTTACTTGATAAATAAATATTTACAATTTTAATTATCTTTCAGATTTACCCAACCATGTGGTTTCACCAACACTCCCCCCACCTCCACCTCAAACAACACCACAACCTGCCCCCATCCAAACTACAGAAGTGCCAAACGCATCAGCATGTAAGACCACTGTGCACCACTTCAGATTGATCACATTCTGTTATAAGTGATGGTGACAAAATTTAACACTACTGTGATTACTTCACTGGATTTTACAATGATTTCATGAAGAGGCTAATAAAAACCCTAATGTAGTTTGGCTTTTTTTCCAGCTTGTCAAATCAACTGTGATTTTGAAAAAGACGTTTGCACTTGGACTCAGTTGGCAACTGATGTTTTTGATTGGACAAGACAAAGAGGCTCCACCCCCACACCATTGACTGGTCCCTCCTTTGACCACACAACAGGAAGTGGGTTTTGTTCTCTAGATCTAGAATTCTACATTTTAAGCAACAAAATTATAACAATTTTCAATCGCCATTTTTATGGTTGTGTTGCTCAACTTCTTTTCCAGGTGGCTTTTATATGTACATTGAGGGTGACAGTGCCCTTCATGGTGACACGGCCCGTATTCTCAGTGCACAATGTGCTGACCCTCAACCTCAGTGTCTTCAGTTCTGGTACCACATGTATGGCTCCAGCTGGACTATGGGACTGAGTGTCTACTTGCTGCAATATGGTAATGTGGCCAAAGAGGTGTGGAGGAAGAGAGAAGACCAAGGAAACATGTGGCATCTTGCACAGGTGGACCTAAGACCAGATGTTAAATTTCAGGTCTGTGAGACATTGAAAATAACCTAATCTTTTTCAAATGCAGCATACATTAAAGTAAAAATACTTATCTATAGACTTGTTATTGGTCTTTAAGGTAATCTTTGAGGGGCGTAGAGGAAGCTCAGACCGGTCAGATGTTGCCATTGATGACATCTCACTGCACAGAGGGGCCTGTAGCGGTATGTGTCTACACAGCAGAGGCCATTACTAAAAATATTCAGCTTTAACAAAAGATCAATCTTTAAAGCATAACGAATATTTCAATTTGCAAAAGAGTTCATGAGTTAATGTGTTAATACTTACAATTATCCTTTAGCTTTACCAAACCATGTGGGTGCACCAAAACTCCTCCCGCCTCTACCTCCAACAACACCACAACCTGCCCTTATCCAAACTGCAGATGTACCAAACGCCTCATCATGTAAGATCACTAGTGATCCCTGCAGTGTCATGGTGCCAAAAAAATAACACTACCATGATTAAATTCCTGGATCTTTTGATGTTTTCTGGAATTACTAATCAAACATGTGCTTTTATTCCAGCTTGTCACATCAACTGTGATTTTGAAAATGATATTTGTGCTTGGACTCAATTGCCAACTGATGTTTTTGATTGGACAAGACAAAGAGGCTCCACCCCCACACCACTGACTGGTCCCTCCTCTGACCACACAACAGGAAGTAGGTTTTTTCTAGATCTGGAAATCTTTCTACAGTTTAAGAATCAAAGTTATAACATTATATAAAATGGCTAAAATGTATGGTTGTGTTGCTCAACATCTTTTCCAGGTGGCTTTTATATGTACATTGAGGGTGACAGTGCTGTCCATGGTGACACAGCTCGTCTCCTCAGTGCACAATGTGCTGACCCTCAACCTCAGTGTCTTCAGTTCTGGTACCACATGTATGGCTCCAGCTGGACCATGGGACTGACTGTCTACCTGCTCCAGTACGGCAATGTGGCCAAAGAGGTGTGGAGGAAGAGAGAAGACCAAGGAAACATGTGGCAACTTGCACAGGTGGACCTAAGACCAGATGATAACTTCCAGGTCTGACAATGTTTTAAAATAACCTGATCTTCTACAAATTCTCCACAATCAAATGTAAATATACTAATCTGTAGACATGTTGTTGGTCTATTAGGTGATCTTTGAGGGGCGTATAGGAAGCTCAGCCCGGTCAGATGTTGCCATTGATGATGTTTCACTGCACAGAGGAGCCTGTAGTGGTATGTTTCTACAATGTGAATGTTCTTAGTATAAACTACACACTTTACGTTGATTTACTAGTATTAACTAACATAAATATTCCAAAAAAAATTCTCTCTGTCTCTTCAGATATCACTGCCTCAGACATGTATGGAAATTCTGACAGTGAAAATAGCACAATAAAGCTAAAAGAAGAGAGGGCAAAGAATGAGAAAGACTGGAAAGCAACGGATGAAAATGTTGCAGCAAGACGGAGATAAACATCCTGGTAATAAAATCATTTTAGGTTAAAATCAAATCAGATTTTAGGTTAAAAAGAAAAAAATTCTAATTCACTATTTTACCAGTTTAAGATATGACCTACTGTAATGTTAAGAGTCTTTTAACAAAAAAATTCAAAATATGATAGTTTCTATTTTTATCTCTGTTACACAGGCAGTCCATACTGTTAAATGAATACTCTTATGCCGAAACATACTTCCATCTTTGTAAGGCAAATGACCACCTGATAATACCCGTCATCGGTCAATCTGGACTTCCTCCTTTTTTAACTAGGACCTATAAGTTATTTTCTCTAACAGACTTTTCATAATATTACATAAACTAAACACGGCTTTTCATCGCTGAGATGTTTTCCCCTCCTACAACAGTTTGTTTTTAGTGAAGTTCACACAGGCATCGTATCAGCTTGGCATCCCAAACATCTTAACATCTACAAAATGCCTTATTCTTTTGTTCTACATAAATATATTGTTCTGTTATTTAAAAACTAGTAAAAGTCTTTTTTGCAAATGTTTCTTGTATGTGCACATTATCTCTGATTCTCTTTTGAACTTTATTTAATAAACATTTTCATTTGGTGCAATAAAATCCTGTTATGTGGTGATTGGTCAAATGACCCAGTCTGTTGTGATTGGTCGACTGCATGCAGCTCATGTTGGAAATGGAACGACCAATACTGTTATTACAGGTTATGAAGTGTTGAAGATTTCCAACAGTATGGCTGTTACTCAAAATACATTCTTCAGGGATCTTGTGTCCTCGTGTAACGCCATCATCAACTTACAAAGTTCAGTTCCAATACTCAAGACCACAAGAACAGAGGACGTGTGAAACTTCCCGGATGTGTTCTTGATAAAGGCGTGAGCACCGAACTCGCTCGAGAAGTCCCAGAAGTCATTGCGACTGGAGGTGGGAAACCTCCAATAATTTTATATAGGTTTATTATTAAAGTTCAGAGATAAAACGTATTGACCTCAGGAGTTTCCCTAAATGAAACGGTGAATATAAACATTACCATGAAAATCTTCATAAAGTAATGAACACATTAAGGGTGTTTATTTGCTGAATATCATATTAAAATCTGTTTTATTAATATTGTGCAACGTATATTTGTAAAGTCTTTATGCATAGTATATATTGTGAAATGGGCAAAACAATATAAATCATTGTATGAATGCTGTAATGTTTAAATCATTTTCCATTAAAACACAGTAAGGTCATGTGACCAACAGGAAAAAATTTCTCACAGGATGTGTTCTCACAGTCTCCCAAAGAACGCTTCGCAAGAACGCAAGTCCGATCTTTGTGTTCTTGGAATTGAGAAACTGCCTATATGAACAAACAAGATGGCTGTAATTTTATCTTCAATTACAGCCCAAATCTGAAAAGGAAGCGTTGTTCAATAAAACATGCAAAAATTATTTTTTTTAAAATGATCTTCATTCAAAAACAACCACCCTCTGAATCTTGCACTCTACTCGTTTAGGTAGCTGTACTGTAGCAGTAATCAGTAAAATGATTTGGACACAACACAAGGTTGATGCTTCGCTGTTATGGTCTTGGTTTAAAAATGAACCTTTAACCTTTTAATTCTTCAGAGCCATAACCTTTGGCAGTAAAGTAAAAAAAATTATGAATAAAGTTGATTCTGTTTTATTCTGGGTCTGTGCGCACAACAAGTAGACAGGCTCTATAATGTTTTGTGACGACACCAACACGAAATAGTTTGGAAGTATTTTAAAAACGTCTTGTTTTAAAGATTCTGAGTCAACTCCTCCTATTGAGAGACAATGGCTGCGTCCCAATCCGCATACTACGCATCCTTAATAGTAAGGGTGTCACGATCCTCCAAATCCTCGATTTGATTACATTTTCGATTCTAAAGGCACGATTCGATTCGATTTTCAATTATGAATAATTAATTAATTAATGACCAATTAATTATTTGTAGCCTACCGTTTAAACTACCTGACCTGCATGGTCTTTGTTTTACCCATAAACAAATCATACAGTAAATGAATAAAGGCAAGATACACACATAATTACCACCTGTCCATAACTGTAACATAACACGGGACTCGTGAATAGGCAGTTGTGGCAATTAGGATGTAAATCCATACCACCTGGAGGAAAATGATTACAGGTTAAAAAGAAAAGAGCGGAAGAGGAAGTGATAAGAACGGTACGAGGAGAGCACTAAAAAATCTGTGTCGTTATAATGGCATCGGTAAAAAAGACGTACAACCAACAGGAACCAGCCAACAGTATCTAAGGTGTTCGCTAAAATGACTGAGTGAAAGATTGAAGCAGTCCTCTGACTGCCTGGACCTGCTGTCTCGAGCGCAATACAGTGTGTGTGCGTCTGTGTCTGTGTGGTCACGTGATGTGCATTTTCAGAGGTAGTGAGGAAGGAGGGCTGCTCAGAAATGCTACACGTCACTGTGGATGTCAAATCGTTGTCGTTCTAAAATGCCATTTAAAAACAAAGACAGTGTAAACAGGGCTTGAGTGTGTACTTTTCGCGAGCGAATTTGCAACGGGGGCAGGCGGAGGATCGCGATGCCGGTGTTGTCTATCGGACGAACCGTACGTAATACGTACATAGCAGAGCTTGCAAAACTGTGTTTTTTTTGTCGACAACACAAACGTTGTCAACATAACTCACTGGAAATCCAAAATGCTTACACACCGGCGACTTCATTAAAAGAGGAGAGGGTTTAAGTTCTGTCGACGGGTCTCCTGCTTCTGCAGTTTAACAAGCACTTCAACAAGCCTGTTTTTTTCCCGTTTGGCAAGCCAAGCTGACGTGACATGGGGGCGTGGCAGCATCGACGATTCTATTTTTTGATTCGATAATTGAAATTGAGCATAAATTTCGATCGATTTCGATTAAAAATACCCCTACTAAATAGTATTTGAAAATAAAATTTGTATATCCAAAACCATAGTATGTTGAAATAAGTATGCCAGAGGTTCCCGGATGGTTTGCTATTTCCGGTAAAAAATGTAAGTGTAGAAGCGTCCATACTCTAACTGCTGATTTTACCCACAATACATTGCGCGTAGGACGTGAATCCAATTAGAACTACAAACACGTGTGAGAAGTATAAATAAACTACAAACATGATGGACGTGCAAGACCAACAGTCAAGTAGAGATGCTTCAGTAAGGATGCTTGAATGACTGTTAGTCAATATCCTGCCCACCGGAAAATATTTAAATCGCATCACCTGTGTTATATTTTATCTGCAACAACAATACTGAACTTACATAAAGACGCGTTTGAACGTCAAAATGTCTGAATGCATAATTATCCAAAGACCTGAGGAGATTTCTCGGCATGAAAGACTCATAAATGGGAGATTAACCTGCTGCTGCTGCTTCTCCAATAAGCTAGGAAATTAAATGCAACAGAAATGTGAATGGTGTGTGGATGATTGACAGGGGGCAAAAATAAGCAACACAATGATCTTTTAAAGAGGAAGTAGTATGTCCCAAAGCTTGCATAATCTTCTTTTGCACACTCGAAAGTGTAAACTTTTCCTTCACAAAAAAGTACATAATTTTTAGGGTGTAGTACAAGTATGCGAATAGGGACACAGCAAATAACTTCACTCACTGTGATTTTTCAAATTTGAAACTTTACATGCTGTTTTCATTCAATCCAAGTTGTGTTACGACACTGCATAAAATGTAACTTCATTATAGGGATCTTTTATTGATTCTGCATTATATTCAGGGATGTCTTACACTTTCACAACATGACTGTTTTCCAGAATTCCACTCATACTTTTAGTCTGTTAAGTTAATGACCTATGCCATTAAATACAGCAAAACCTGCTTAGCAAGATGCAAAATTCCTACATAGCCTCAAGAAAACACATGGTCAAGTGAAAACACCAGAAATGCACTAAGCTGGACACACATAATTTGAACAATATGAAGGTTTCAGTCATCCACTTCTGGCTTCTTGTATTACTTCTGTACCAAACAAACTGGAAGCTGGCATCAGGTAAGTCAGATGAAACTCTCCAAACAACCCGTGTGTATAAATGTTTTGTTAAAAAACTACAGGTAAAAAAAATGATAGAAAATAATGCAGCACTCCCAGAACAAATTGACTTGTTTTTTTCCTGCTTGTACTGTACAATTTCAAGAAATTTGACTCTTTTTGTACTCTACAAACATACATTATTTTGAACTAGAAGATAATCTAGATAATCAAAAATAATACCACACTTCCACACTAATTTCTAGATTTCTATTTTTTAGTTCCACACTGTAAAAAAAAAAAAATCTGTAAAAAAAATATATATATATATCAAAAAGACTAGCAGCAGGGCTTCCAGAGATCTTCAGTTAAATTACAGAAAATAACCATTTCACAAAATTACAAGCAAAAACTGAAAATACAGAACACGCTTTACGATCAAAATTCATTACATTACTGTTTATAATTTGTATTTAAATTGTGGGGAAAAAAAACAGAAAACAAACAGAATAAAATAATTTGTAAAATAGTATCAGTAATTTCTTGCTTTTCTTTTCTATAGTTATTAATGCCATTTTACAGATTAAAACTGTAATGATACAGGTAATTACAGCTATTTACTAATCATTACTTCAATTATACAGATTATTACTGTAATTTTACAAATTACTACTGTAAATATATCATTTATTATTGTAATTATGCAGAATAATAATGTGATTTTAAAGATTATTACAGTAATTATACAGGTTATTAATGTAATTATACAAATTAATCAACGTGATTATACAGATTAATTCATGTACAAAATATCTACATATTCAATAAAATTTTAAAACAGAAGAAATGCTTTTAAAGAAAGACTCAAAAAGCTTTAGTAAAAGAAAAATTCTGTTGTCATAAAACACTGTAAATATAACTATTATATAGTTTAACAAATATTTTTAGGATATGTAGGTTAAATTCCAAAACAATTTGCTTGAAAAAAAAACTAAATTGTTATATATTAAAAACATTTTTATAAAAATAATATATATTATATATATATGAACTCAGAATTCTTAGCCTCCCTTTGATTTTATATATATATATATATATATATATATATTTCCTAAATGATGTTTAACAGAGCAAGAACATTTTCACAGTGTGTCTAATCATATTTTTTATTTTGGAGAAAGTCTTATTTGTTTTATTTCGGCTACAATAAAAGTAGTTTTAATTTTTTAAAAAAAAACATTTTAGGAACAAAATTATTAGCCCCTTTAAGCTATTTTTCTACAGAACAAACCATCATTATACTACAACTTGCCTAATTACCCTAACCTGCCTAGTTACCCTAATTAACCTAGTTAAGCCTTTAAATGTCACTTTAAGCTATATAGAAGTGTCTTAAAAATATCTAATATAAATATATATCTAATATAAATATCAAATATTATTTACTGTCATCATGACAAAGATAAAATAAATCAGGGCTTTGCCATAAAAAGTGTTACAACATAAAACTATAAGGAACAACTTTTGTCAAAGGTGTTGAGGTTATCTGAAATCAGTGCAAAAACCTTTCATTTTTATAAATCAAATATATTAGGATCACTAAGCTGTTGATGATGTCATTTGTCTTTTTATGAGCTTTAACATGTCTTGTATCTTTTAGGGCTGTGTTCAGAACCCAAAGTGCTCTGCTGTCCCGGCAGAAATGACAGCTGTATACAGGAATGTTACTGTGATCAGTATTGCCTCACAAGTGGAGACTGCTGTTTTGACTACATACAGACATGCAATAATTGTAAGACTAAGTACTCTCAACACTAAATACTGATCCAGCAAATAATATTTTAAAAATGGAATTTGCATGCAACACTGTTACTCTAAGTAAGCTCTGAGAAAAAATGTGTAAGGTCACTGCTTATTTAAAAAGAACAGCACTTTTCTTACAAAAACTATAACTATTTAACTACCAGCAGTATTTACAATAAAAAAAATGAATAAATAAAAAGCTGTAGCATCAAAGCAGCAAAATAACTGTGGAGAGCAGTGGCACTAGCTCTACAGGCGGAGGCACAATCACCTGAACTGGTAGTGCTGCGCATTTAATATTATTAATACCACAAGACTTGGGATCCATATATAATTTATTTTTAGCAACAAAAACAATAGCATCTGTATGCTAACAAATTGCTAATTGTAACAGACTATTTTGTCAATTTGTACATTACAAAAAAATCATAAGTATAAATACCTCACAGCCATAGTGAAAAAAGCCACCTGACGTTATGCTTTCTATGACATTTGTTACAATAAACAAAAACCTATATGTAACAACACATATGACTTAACAAAACAGAGTAATTATATTACATTATTCCTTTTTATGTTATATTAATGACGAGTAATAAGACTCTCTCTTCATTTCCAGCAGCAGCAACATCAGCTCCTTCATTCCAACATTCCATATTGACTTCAACTACACCGCCATCAACAACAGCACCATTATTTCAGTCAAGCTCACGATCATCAACTTCAGGAACCTCATCCTCACCTTCATCAAACTCTCCATCATCCTCATCATCCTCATCATCCTCACCTACAGCACCAAACTCTCCATCGTCTTCATCATCCTCACCTGCAGCACCATCATCTTCACCATCACCAAATTCTCCATCTTCATCACTATCCTCATCTTCAGCACCATCATCTTTACCATCACCAAACTCTCCATCATCCTCATCATCCTCACCTGCAGCACCACCATCTTCATCATTCTCACCTGCAGCACCATCATCTTCATCATCACCAAACTCTCCATCATCCTCATCATCCTCACCTACAGCACCAAACTCTCCATCATCTTCATCATCCTCACCAGCAGCACCATCATCTTCACCATCACCAAATTCTCCATCTTCATCATCATCCTCACCTTCAGCACAATCATCGTCACCATCACCAAACTCTTCATCATCCTCATCATCCTCACCTGCAGCACCACCATCTTCATCATCCTCACCTGCAGCACCATCATCTTCACCATCACCAAACTCTCCATCATCCTCATCATCCTCACCTGCAGCACCATCATCTTCACCATCACCAAACTCTCCATCATCCTCATCATCCTCACCTACAGCACCAAACTCTCCATCATCTGAATCATACTCACCTGCAGCATCATCATCTTCACCATTACCAAACTCTCCATCTTCATCTTCATCATCATCCTCACCTTCAGCACCATCATCTTCACCATTACCAAACTCTCCATCTTCATCTTCATCATCATCCTCACCTTCAGCACCATCATCTTCACCATTACCAAACTCTCCATCTTCATCTTCATCATCATCCTCACCTTCAGCACCATCATCTTCACCATTACCAAACTCTCCATCTTCATCATCATCCTCACCTTCAGCACATCATCTCACCATACAAACTCTTCATCATCCTCATCATCCTCACCTGCAGCACAATCATCTTCATCATCCTCACCTGCAGCACCATCATCTTCACCATCCCCAAACTCTCCATCATCCTCATCATCCTCACCTGCAGCACCATCATCTTCACCATCACCAAACTCTCCCCCATCTTCATCATCCTCACCTGCAGCACCAAACTTTCCATCATCTTCATCATCCTCACCTTTAGCACCATCACCATCACCAAACTCTCCATCATCCTCATCATCCAAACCTGTAGCACCAAACGCTCCATCTTCGTCACCATCCTCACCTTCAGCACAATCATCTTCACCATCACCAAACTCTCCATCATCCTCATCATCCTCACCTGCAGCACCAAACTCTCCATCATTTTCATCATCCTCACCTTTAGCACCATCACCAAACTCTCCATCATCCTCATCATCCTCACCTGCAGCACCAAACTCTCCATCATTTTCATCATCCTCACCTTTAGCACCATCACCAAACTCTGCATCATCTTCATCATCCTCACCTGCAGCACCAAACTCTCCATCATCCTCATCATCCAAACCTGCAGCATCAAACTCTCCATCATCTTCATCATCCTCACCTGCAGCACCATCATCTTCATCATCACCAGACTTTCCATCATCCTCATCATTCTCATCTTCAGCACCATCATCTTCACCATCACCAGACTCTCCATCATCTTTATCATCCTCATCTTCAGCACCATCATCTTCACCATCACCAAACTCTTCATCATCCTCATCATCCTCACCTGCAGCACCACCATCTTCATCATTCTCACCTGCAGCACCATCATCTTTATCATCACCAAACTCTCCATCATCCTCATCATCCTCACCTGCAGCACCAAACTCTCCATCATTNTCATCATCCTCACCTTTAGCACCATCACCAAACTCTCCATCATCCTCATCATCCTCACCTGCAGCATCAAACTCTCCATCGTCTTCATCATCCTCACCTGCAGCACCATCATCTTCACCATCACCAAACTCTCCATCATCCTCATCATCCAAACCTGCAGCATCAAACTCTCCATCATCTTCATCATCCTCACCTGCAGCACCTTCATCTTCATCATCACCAGACTTTCCATCATCCTCATCATTCTCATCTTCAGCACCATCATCTTCACCATCACCAGACTCTCCATCATCTTTATCATCCTCATCTTCAGCACCATCATCTTCATCATCACCAAACTCTCCATCATCCTCATCATCCTCACCTGCATCACCAGACTCTCCATCATCTTTATCATCCTCATCTTCAGCACCATCATCTTCACCATCACCAAACTCTTCATCATCCTCATCATCCTCACCTGCAGCACCATCATCTTCACCATCACCAAACTCTCCATTATCTTTATCATCCTCACCTGCAGCACCATCATCTTTACCATCACCAAATTCTCCATCATCCTCATCATCCTTCCTTGCAGCACCATCATCTACACCATCACCAAACTCTTTATCATCCTCACCTGCAGCACCAAACTCTCCATCATCTTCATCATCCTCACCTGCAGCACCATCAACTTCACCATCACCAGACCCTCCATCATCCTCATCATTCTCACCTTTAGCGCCATCATCTTCACCATCACCAGACTCTCCATCATCCTTATCATCCTCACTTCACACCATCATCTTCACCATCACTATACTCTCCATCATCCTCATCATCCTCACCTTCAGCACCATCATCTTCACCATCACCAAACTCTCCATCATCCTCATCAT